CAGCCACAAAGATACTGCACTTAGTCTTCTGCTCCTTGCCAACCTCTATACTTTTTCAAGATGTGTCATATACATCTGCTTTAGCAGGTCTGATATATCCGGGCTCTGGGCAAGTGTTTAGATGTATTTCCCATGGCATAGGTTCATATAGGCTTCTATAGGCTGCCTCTTGGCCTCTTCTACTTTTGATGTCTGAAGTATGTAGATAGTTTGGTGTCAACCTGGGAGTCCCTCCTTGCTGCAGTCACACCATTAGAAGAGAGACAGAGACAGCACCAAATGGCCTTGATATGAAATCCAGAGAGGCAAACTTCCAATCATGCTTTGGTATTAACTCCTAAATATTCACTTGAGATGAAGGGTTAAATCCTATCCTCCATTTCATCTAATAAACTCCACTGAGTTTTGTTGGTTTTAAAGAAGACACAATTTTTCAATTAAAAAAAAATGTAAAGGCAGCTAACAGTAACACAGTGAGAAGGTCAAAGCAAGATAGGTTTTTTTGCAGAAAGCTGACCAGTCTTGCTGACTTTCAATTTTCTCATGTGTTGATGAGAAATGATGAAAAGAGATGTCGGTCAGTAGAGATCATATATTACAATGACAAGAAACAAAGGAAGAAATGTCACTAATGTGTTGCCTGGAAATATTTGCCAGGAACCTGATCCGTATCTCATCTCCTGAAAACATCAGCAGTGCAGAGGCATTTATTTCAAAACCCAGAATAATTGCACTTAATCTGGATAAGTAATTCTTTCTGTGAGAGAAAATGTTGATTAATGTAAGAGTGTAAACAGCCCTTACCCCAACCATGAAAGAATCTGCACGTAGGCAAAAATATTGAGGATACCCACTAAGCATCCACAGGTATGACATAGGATGAGATAATTAGTAATTAATGATTTGGCAATTAGGGAAGTAAACAACAAGCTTGAACCACACAGCAGCCTTTCACTCAATGAAGCAACTCATTTTTCATGTATTCAAGACTTTTCTCTTTGGAAATCCCTTTGATTTTGATGCATTATAATGTATACAAAATTCTGACTTTTAGAAGTATTCATAAAGCCAAAGGTTATATTTATGTAAAAAAAAAAAAAATCCCAAACCCTACACTCTCACATAACCACAGAGAACAGTTTTTATCTTAATTCAACAGGAATCCCTTTAGGGCCTTGTGCACTAGGGCTGAGATGAAAAGAGGTCATTTAAACCCTGACAAATCAAATATTGAACACCATAAAAATTAAGCCCTTATATTATTAGGATAACTCAGAGGGCCAAACTAGAGTTGCTAGATTACCTGTCACATAGTGGGAGAAAAGTGTTAGGTTTCCTTATAAAGATGATTCACAGTGAACTGAGGCATCCGGCTGCCTTGAAAAATGATCTACAGAAACCCCTCTTGCAAGGAGGCTGTTCACAGCTCAGCAGTAGCAGAATAAGTAGCAGAACCTGAATTCCTCCTTCCATGCAGTGAATCCATGAATTGTGCCTGCCCATTGGTAGTATTATATAGCCTGATGACTTCAGCACTCTCACAATGGATAAGGCTTTTAATACCTTCAAACTGGGGAGGGATTTAAACAATAATCCTGCTTCCTGGGTGGTAAGTCTTGCCAGTGGCCAGCTGTGTGCACCGCTGCCACACGTCCACTAGCTGTGAGTCCGAGAGACAGAGACTAAGCCTGTTGTGCTGTCAGCAGTCGCGGTGTTTTCATGAGGTTAGGTGCCAAGGGCAAGAAAATAGAAGTACCTACAAAACTGTACGCTGTGTGGGCAAAATCCTGTGGCTTGCTTTGGATCATTTGATCTTAAGTACCAAGTTATACCTAATGGCTATTTACACACTCCACTGCAGGCTTTTTGTACCTCATCCTTAACTTCTGCCTTAACTTCTGCTGTTTTGTTACTGCTTTGTCAGAATCTCATAAAGTGTTGAAATTGGTTGACTAATGAATAATTCAGAGATAAAATAGAATTTCAAACCGTTTTTTTTTTTTTTCACCTTTGACCTTTAAGTGGAGATCAGGTGTGTCAGTTCCTTTGGGTTACATTCAGTGCATTCTCCTCTTCTTTTAGTGCCAGTTCGAAACATCTGGTTTCTGCACCCAGGAAGAAAAAGACTTATTATTAAAAAAAAAAATGCCTTTCACACTGTCTTTGAAATGTTAATGGTTATAGAATTAAAAACTTATTTTCTATTCTGACAGGCAAATTATTAAATTACCCTGTGTCCCCCTCTGGTCTCTGAGCTGTCCAGTTGTTAGCTGGCTAACAGAATCATATTTTTGAAGAGACATGTGACCATGGGGCAGCTTTCCTTTCTACAGATGCATATGCGAATCTTTATACCAAAAAAAAAAAATCAGCTCTGAAGCAGTGAATGTAATAAAACAGTACACCGATTAAGTCTTCTGTGATAAAGGAATTAAATTTCTGTAAATAGAGTGTTTATTTTCTGTGAGGCATGAAAACATCCATGAGTCTCTCTTCTTTACCAGGTTTGTAAACAGATATTTCCCATTGTAGATCAGATATTCAAACCACTGTGCCCACAGATCATGGAAGCCGCAGTTTTGCTGGATAGCAGACTTTTTCTAACCCCTTCCAAGAGGCCTTCCTTGCTTTTGTGTAATGCCTGGAATTCTGGCAACCTTTCTGGAAAACAAATTCCTTCTTCAATGAGGAATATAGATAGCTAACACCAAATTTCAAAATAGAATATTGGAAAAAATGAATTGTTCAAAAGAATGAGTTGCATCCCATGCAGGGCTGTAAGAACAAATAAATAAATAAAATCTGAGAATAAATCTGTACAGCTAGAATTTGAATTTCCATGGAAGAGCACCAGGGTTACTATACTTTAGCAATGAGCTGGATACACTTCAGAACGTGTGTGCGTATGCGTTCATAGGAGGCTGGTGGGAAAGAGGAAACAAGGTGCAGTTTGTTCTTAGAAATATGGGTCTGGGAAGGGTCATTTAGACCAATAAGTCCACAAGTGCAAGCGAGTAAGAGATAGAGGATTTATCAATAAAATTACTGGAGTTAAGACTCTTCTACTATCACTCTTTTCTCATCCTACTCAGTGTGATTTCACAGAAAAAAAATAGAGATCTGAATAATTTTTCTGACTTCTTAAAGACTTACTAAATGTACAAAAGACAAAATCTCAAAAACTTTGTGTGAGCCCTGGAAAGAGCAGAGGAGAAAAAAGAAATTTTGGAAGTCATGTTAGCCCACAAGTTTAACTTAGTTGGGATGTTTCAGTTGGGAATATTTTAAATGTATTTTTTCATTTCTGTTCAAAAGTATTGACCAATAAATATTTCTATGCATTTTTTTTATGTTATCAGAATAAGGAGATCCACATTTTATTTAGCGATTTATGGGATTTTTATTTTCTTTGATAGCACAAAGCTAAACACCTCAGCTGTGACACTCATCATCTTATATTTTTTTACAGAAAGCCTTTCAGGTCTGGTGACTTATTTTGGCATGAATTTTTAGCTGCCTGAAATTTCTCTTCAGCTGTGTCTCCTTATAGCTCACAAATGTGCTAAGTTTTTTATCTGGAGTACTTAGTGATGGATACAATCTATGTCACGTAGTCAATCAGTCATTTTTCAGTGCAATGACTAGTTTCATATAATTTTTCAGAACAAATTAAAAATAAATTTCACAACATTTCTATTGTTTGCTGCAGTTTTTATTACCTAATTCCTCTTCAGCTGTCAGCTTTGATGCTTCTATTTACCTTCTTAACAAAATCAGGATATGGCCAATTTATCTCCTTTTTCATAGGATTTCTTTTTTTTTAATCTTAAGTATCAGTAAAGAGGCATATTTAGCCAGTCTAGTTCTGCTCTGAAATTCTCACACTTCAAAAATATTTATGTAAAATGGACCAGCATTGTAACTTTCTTGTTCTTTATTTCAGATCTTGGCATTTAGAATCAATTTGATCTTTATTTTTTTCTAAAAAAAAGAAGCAGAATCCTGAAATGAGGCAATAGCTTCAAAGCTATTATGATAGCATCCATAATGATTTCAGTTTCAGGGTAATTTCAGTTTGCTTGTGCTGAAGTTCAAAAAAAACTCTTACATTTGTGCTTAAGCATATCTGGAGCTAAAGGAAGAGCTACTAATTTCTCCAGAGAGGAGTTGGCAGTAAACACTGCTGTGTTGACTTGGAACGATGGGTAAAGCATGTACAGGAAATAAAGACATTCTGAAGCAGCATGATAATCTGAGACATGAGATCACCATCTTGCCCATATATATTCTCAAAATAAAACAAACAAGCTCGAGAAATCATTTTTTTTTATTATTACTATTATTTAGGTGCCTAAAATTTAGGCCTGTAAGCTTAAGCAAGAAATGAGGTTGAAGTTCAGCAAGGACGAGTTCAGGGTCCTGCACCTGGGGAGGAATAACCCCAGGCACCAGTACAGATTAGGGGTTGACCTGCTGGAAAGCAGTTCTGTCCAAAACACTGGAGAGGCATTTGGGAGTCCTGGTTGACAACAGGTTGACCATGAGTCAGCAATGTGCCCTTGTGGCCAAGAAGGCCAATGGGATCCTGGCCTGCATCAGGAGGAGCGTTGCCAGCAGGTCGAGGAAGGTGATCCTCCCCCTCTTATTCAGCTCTGCTGAGGCCGCACCTGGAGTATTGTGTGCAGTTCTGGGCTCCCCAGTGCAAGAAGGACATTGAGCTTCTAGAGAGGGTCCAGCGGAGAGCCACGAAGATGATTAAGGGACAGGAGCATTTGTCATGTGAGGAAAGACTAAGCGAGCTGGGCCTGTTTACTCTGGAGAAAAGAAGACTGAGAGAAGATGTGATTAACATGTTCAAGTACCTGAGGGGTGATTGTAGGGAGGAGGGGGCCAGGCTCTTCTCCGTGGTGGCTGGAGACAAGACAAGGGGTAATGGGCGTAAGTTGAAACACAGGCAATTCCCCCTCTGTAGGAACAACTTCTTTACTGTGAGGGCGACAGAGCCCTGGAACAGGCTGCCCAGAGAGGTTGTGGAGTCTCCTTATCTGGAGATCTTCCAAACTCGCTTGGGTGCCACCCTGTGCCACGTGCTCTAGGTGTCCCTGCTGTAGCAGGGGGGGTTGGACTAGATGATCTCTAGAGGTCCTTCCAACCTTAAGCATTCTGTGATTCTGTGAAATCCTAGGCTGCCTTCTATGCTGCCTGTCTATGCAGATAGCTCTATAGCCACCAGGCAGATAAATATGCAAAAAGGGCCATTCAGTTTATTCCAAGATACACCCCTATTATAGATCTGACAAACTACCAAGAGAAGGTGCTTGTCTTTATCTCTTGATTATAAATGGAACATAAGGTCAACTAGGACTTAGGCATCTAAATTAAAGATGTCAAAAAATCATAAAATAAATTCTATCTCCTTTTAAAGTTATGCAAGTGGTTTTACATCCATCAGAGTATAAGATTTAAATATGGAGTAGATAAAATTTTGGACTGGCATGGTATTAGGGATATGTCTGTATTGCTGTTCTTAGTCTGTTAGTCCTGAAGCTTATTTTTGAGATTACTCCTGTCAAGTTTTTGTGATAACTCTGCCAGGAATTAAGAACCTTTTATCTCGAAAGTGTCTTTGTGATATCAAAAGAATTTCCTTTCCAAGTTCATGATAAATAGTTGATATCTTCAAAGCTTTTGGCAAAATGGTTGACTCAGAATGACTTTTAGACTTTGGTTCATTTGCAGCATCTCTTTTACTGATGTTAGAATGTATCCTGTGTGCATGTGTATGTGTAGGTATATTATGAAGCTAAATATGATTTAAAACTTGAAACTGGAAGACTGGAATTTATCCTTTTAAGATAAGAAATCGGATCTGAGAAATCAAAACTGTTCCTCTTCAGTGTTTTAATTTCCAAGTATAAGTATATCATCTCCAAAGTAAGTGTATCATCTCCAAAATACCAAGGCAGTTTAACTAAGTAAGTGCGTGCTTTGTTTTCATATAAACAGGTATGCCATATTCTGTTCTGTGCTGGAGTTAATAAGAAAGCTGCATTCTACTCCCTCGTCTTTGAAGGTCCAAACAAAGGCCATGTGATACTAATAGACACTAACTGTTTACGTGACGCTGATGTACTCTGTGAGGATGTACTGCCTGTTTATGAAAGAGAGAAAGAAAAAAATGTTACTAAAAACCTCTCTAGACACAGAAATGGAATCTCATCTCAAAAACATGGAGAGATCAAGGACCTTGCGATCAGTCAGACACCAAGTCATTATTTTCATAACTGCAGTTTGTTGCTTCTCCAGTACTTAAATAGGCAGATACACACAACATACTTAGAGGAGTTAATAAATAAAGGATGGATCTAAACTGTTCATTAGAGAGGCAAGGAGACAGTTGATCTTACAATGTCAAGTTTCCTGAGATTTTTATAGGCAGAAGTTACTTGGGAAGTAATATGTAGCTGAGCCTAGATTTTTTTTTTTTTTGTAGTCTGATGCTTGTACTTGACTGCAATCTTAGGGTAGCTGACAGCTTGACATTTAGAAAGACATGAATTTGAATCCTTATATTTTACTCTGTGGAAAGTTTGAAGGAACTTTGTAAACAATAGTGATAAAGGCTTTAAAAATGAAGCTGGAGATAGAAGATGAGATAGACTGGATTTAATTTTGCACATGCAGTAGAACATTTTCAAGGGCAGAAATAATTAAGTGTTTAAGCAATATCCACGATTACCCGTGTTTAGGGAGAAAGGACTAAAAATGTCAGAGAATATATTCTCTGAAGACTCTTAACATCAACTCTAAACAGTAAGAAAGAGGGCAGTGTGTAGTGCCTTTGCAGTGATGAGTAGGTGACATAAACCCTTGCAAACATAGGCCCATATCCTAAAGCGAATTTGGTACAGTCAGGCCCAGATCTCATTTCAGGGTGAGTATCATTCAGGGAAAAAGAATTCCTCTAGAACACAAATAATGTTTGACAGTATTCCACCGGGGAGCAATGCCTGCCTTAGTTCAGTAGTCTGGGTAATTTCCCCCCTCTTATCTGCTTATAATTTTAGAAGAGCAAAACCTGCAAGGAAGCTGGAAAAGTCCCAAAACAAAAGAATGTTTGAAGAATTCCTTTGCTATTTGCTTCCTGGTTTGTATGAATTTTGAGGTTTTGAGGTTTTGTTACTTGGCAACCAAGACTTGTTCTTAAAAGTTTTTTTTAAAATTATTTCATGAATTTATCCATGTTTTTCTTTGCTCCATTTTTTTTCTACCTCAAGTTCATACAAGAAGGTTTCAATCTGGTCAAACATATCAACTCATGATCTTTGGTTCTACCTGCTCACAGTAAACACAGAAAATCAGAACTGAAATAAAAATTGAAGCAAAATATGGCTATGTCATCTACATGAGGATCTTATTCTCAGATGGTTTTCAAGTTGCAGTATAGTGGCTTAGGCAGAGAAAATAAGCTAGGTTATTTTATAAGGTTATTTTTAGTCTTGTTATTTATTTTCCTTTCCATTATTTTGATTGTGGTTGAGCTTTGTGCTTTATCTGTTTCAACTTGAACCCAGAAGACCTAAATGAGTTTGTATTATTAGTGGTATTTTTAAAACTATTTCTCAAAAATATAATTAATTTGGGCATTAGTTAAAATAGTTGTTCTACTGTCTTTTGCTTATGTTCAAGTATATTTTGGTTTCAGATGAGTATTTAACATGTTGCAATCTGAGCTACAACGCTTGTCCAAAAGTTTGTCTGTTTTCCCCAACTACATAAGTTACTTGTCTCTTAAAGCTTTTTGCTTTGCTTACACATTATCAGTGTTGACATCCAAGCATGGCGAAAGCCAGTGGGAACTACTGAGTTTCCTGGTGGCAATATTTTATCCTACAAGTAAAGAAACAAAAGTGATTGTAAAAAAAAATAGTAACATGAAATGCTGAAGTGGCTAATGCTGTTATAGCTGCTAAGCACTTTCTGTCCCACTGGATGCTGGACTGTGGCATACGGGTGATCTGCAGAGTTGCAAGGACTCCATCTGCCTGACCACAGGAGCTAGAACAGCAGGACTTACCTGGAAGTGGGTAGTTCTCTTCACTCGGTCTTTTGTGCTTGGCAACAATTATGAATGCAGGATTGTATGAACCACTGCTAATGTACTGATAAATAAAATCGAATTTGGGGATTTTTACTAGTGTGGTCTCTGATGCCAGTGCGTCTTTTTCTGCTCCTAACGGAAGATGAAGAGAACAAGTTCTAGGACACTTAGTGCATACACTGAGTCTTGCAGAAATGTATTGTTTCAATAAGCTACAATGAAATTTCAGGCTCTCAGGCAGATGACATATAGATGGATTCAAAATAACAGTAAATGAACCAGCTTGTTTACAACTCTCATAGATATATGAAAAGCTTTGGAACGGCAAACACGAGTTTCTTTTTGCGATGATGGACAATGTAAAGAAAGGTACAGTAAGAATGACAAGATAAACTTTTGCCAGACTCCTTTTATTTCCCTCTCTTTTGGAAAAAGAAAATATTTGTTCTTACTCATTTTTCTGTAAGGAACAAGGGTGACTGCCAGAGTTTGAGGTCATAGGAGATACTAGTGAGAATCAGTGAATGTTGGGAGTATGCAGAGAACAGAGTCTGTGTCTTAGCTTATATCTGAAGCCTCAAAGAATCTAATTTTGGCCCTCATGACTCTATCTTCTCACTCTAGGAATAACTTCTGAAGCTCCAGCTCACTCTGGGTGCAGGGCAAAGGTAGTGTGCATTTTTTAAGAGGAAAATCCTATGTGAAGCTCTGTATAAGAGCTACAGCCCTTAAAAGCAGCAATCTCTGCCAAGATGCACCTGGACTTCTACTCTTCTCCCAGACACCACTGCCTCTGCAATAGCCTGGAGAGGCTCAATAAGTGTAGAAGCCTGTTTTGTTTTCAGAGACACCTAGTTCTGATCTGTGTGCTCTTCAAGATCATCTTAGGATCTGCACTTACGGATTCACTGCCTGAAGAGCCTCTGAGACCTGAAGGCAGCATTGGGGTGGTCAAGCCACATGATCACTGCCTCCACCTCTTCTCAAAGCCTGAGAAACTTCAAGTAGGCACGTCCAAGCTTCTCCTTCCTCATTGCATAGAATGTTACTTCTGGGATACTGGAGAAATATCTGCAATATTTTTCTGAGATATTTGGAATATTTTTCTTTTATATTAAAATATCATATTTTTTTATATATTTAATCACCAGATTAAGTGCATTTTAAGGAGGCACAAATTTTTTTCTGAAACAGCAACTGACATTTCCCTAAAAAAAAAAATAAGGGGGAGAGAGGGAAGGAAGGAGGAAAAAGAAAACCATCCCTGAGATGACAGAATGCAACAGTAGGAGGCAAGCATTCAGCTGGCAGTTACTTCCTGACATGCAATTTTAATTAAGGAGTCAGCATGTCTGCTCCACAAGCCCACAGGAGGCAGTAACTAAAAATGACTCAGAAAATGTCCATGGATAAAAAGGTAGGAGAAAGAAACAATGGCACCGTATTTCAGGAGGCTAATTGAGTATGTTCATCCCTACGTTTTCAACATAAGCCCTAACACCGAATGGAAAGCAGGCACAAATTGCTAATTGCTGTATCAAAGAATTCATAGCAGTGACTTTTTTACAGAGTGTAGTCAGAGGTCCATTATTGATTCAAGTTAATTCAAAGACAGCATCTAATTCTTTGCGCAGGTCAGCATTTGCACCAATTTTCACATTTGTGCAGTGAGGTTTTCTCTCTCTCTCTATTCTAGGGACATTTCTTTCATAGCAATTATGCCTTTCATTGGGCAGTGGAATTGCCCAGTGCACAGGAAGCAGAAATGACCTGTTCAGGAATCATGTTCTGAGGGATCAATTCGTAGTTTCAAAGAGAAGCCAGATTAGAATTTTCTTCTTAGACCATAGCTATAGTGACTACTAGCCAACTAAGTCAGCAAGGAGATTGCTTTAAATCATCTTTATTAATTTTTCATAAATCCATTTTTTCTCCTAATATGATGATTTTTTTCTTCTTTTCACAGATCCAGTCACCAGGACGCAGAGACTGATTCATATCCTGTACTTTCAATAACCGTTATTAATCATACAAACATCTTTCCAAAGAGGTACTGCAAATCCTTCACTGAAATCTCGTTGTTGGCTGATACTTTCTCCACTGACAAAATATTCAAATATAGCACTGTGAAATAAAAAGGAGTGAGTTCATGCATTTGTCTTTTTTTATTTCTATATACATCAATCTGAAGGCTCTGGGACAAAAAATAATTTGTGAAAGAAAAGCAAATTAATATGATATGACTTAAATTTAGAGCTATGAGTACTGTGGAGAAAAGAACCGGTCAGCTATTTTCAGTCTTTCTCTCCTTGTGTCACTTTCACTTATTAAGAACCCTTTGGCTAGCAGATATATAATTTATGCTTATGATTAAGTAAATTGCATGGTGAATGTTAGAGTAGTCCTATGACAGAATTAAAAAATCTTTCAAACTTTCTTTTTGTTTTTAAAAATACCATTTAACAGGCTCATTATGGGTAGAAAAATATTTCTGAGAAGATGCTGCTTTGGACGAAACATTGATCAATCAATAATGAATTTCTCCCTCCTTGTGTTTAAATGCCTTTATGAATTGGAATCGATCAGGTAGTGTTCAGAACAAGATGAGACCATGGTGTGAATTTGTAGAATGTCTCTCTGCTCCATTCCTCTGCAACCCCAGAGAATGGATCAGAAAGATTCTAATGTCAATACTTAAGATTTTGATGTCTTGCTCATATGAACAGAATTCATAAGAAAGTTTTGTTTTTCTTTTAAGCTAAACTATTGGGAGAAATTTTCCTTTCCTTTTACTGAGCATAAGAGAAAATAGCCTTAATATTTTTTCTCATAGCTCTGAGAAATCCAGACGCAGACTAGAACACCATGAAGATTTCTGTAATTTGAACCAACTGACAATATTCTCTTAAGGAGCTTTCTGAAATTTGCTGTAGTTTATTCACTGTCAGATGCTTCTCCTACCTGTCTTAAACTACAAAATGCCCTGAAGGAATTGCAGAAAGGGAAGTGTAAAGACACAATAATGAGATTTATATCTCTAAGGAATATCCAAAAGAGTACTTGTAGACAAAAGCTGTAGTGCTTCTAAGTTTTGCTACCAGAACACTGCAGTGTTCAGTGTTTTGTATCTGTGGGATAAGTCCTGCACAGCTTGGCTGCTCTGTACACCTGCCTCTATCCATGAGGGACTTTTGGTTGATGACATTTATCAAAATAGCTTGCTGTGCTATTTTAAAGCAGTCTAAACTTCTATGCATCTTAATGCTAACCACCTTAGCTGGAGCATCGTCTTGCTGATCTCCCTCCCTTCAGCATGGAGGAGCCATTTCAGAAGGCTGAGGCTGTCCTTTCCAGAACTGGTGACTAAGAAAAGTCAGATTAATCTTCTGGTGACATCTCTCTCTTAACTAGAAAGAGATTCTAGTCAACTGGATTAATGGACAAAACCTATATTGTAGTAAGCTCAATTTGATTATAAGAGTTTAATTTAGAGAAAAAGCATTTAAATGACAGTCTTTTAAATAGCTTCTTCTTCAGCCCTTACTTTTCCTTAGTGGAGTTCAGATTTTAATTTTCTTTGAACAGTAATAGTGGTTTGAAAGGTGAAGTATTTCCTGTAAACATAAAGAAGGGGCAGGTGTCCAAAAGAGGCTACAAAACTTCTTATATTAAACTTAGGTAAAATCAATAGCAAGCCTACAGTCTTTCTTATCATTTTTCATGAAGACACGAAAACGTTTTTTTACAAGATATATAGCTGCCTTCAAGCAGTTTTAATTTGCAGCAGCAAAACCTGTTCCACTCATCACCATATTGCAGACAGTGTGGCTCCTGGCTATATGGCAGGAATAATATTTTCATATGGATGAACTGCTCTTGATTAATTTATTTGTGATGGAAATCTCAAACTGACTTCTACAGGCATTACAACTATAAGTGTAGATTATGGTCACACCCCAATTACCTAATCACATGTTCACATACATAATCATTTTTTGCATATAATCGGCAAATGCTTACTGATGATGCTTTCTCCAGCCAAAGGCTCCAAGACACAAACTACAAAGAGGCAGATGAGAGGACCTGTCTCCTCTATACTCCCAGTTGTTCCCCACCACTCTACTCAGGTGTGCACAGAGAACAGAGAAGCTGGGAAAGGGAAAAGAGTTTTAGTCTTGTGGCACTGGGTATGAGGAGAGGTGGCTGAGAGAGAAGAGAAAAATCAGGAAGAGCTTTAGGGCACATGAAGCACAAGTTGACCGTTCTCTCTAAGGCATGACCAGTAAAGCTGCCCTGGGAAGGAGGATCCTAGGAACGGGAAGAGCACTACATTAAATTCACCACAGGTGACAGACCTCCAACAGGGTTTGGAGAATAGTTCACCATAGTCTGAATAGTTTCCAAATATATTGATTTTTTTTTTAATGCATAGCCATGATATTCACTAAGTTGTGGGGTAAATAATCTTTTGCAAACTTCAGCAGCTTTTGGAGTTTTTGAATGAAAAAAAACAATCTGGATTTCTAAACTTACAAAATGTATACTGAATGTGGAAAAAATTGAATGATAACTCTTCCAACTTCTTGTTGATAGAACTGTAATCCTTACCTTCATTTTGAATGACCTGTTAGAATATCTTTTTCAAGAATATACAATGATTTTACATTACTTATGTCAAAATGCTTTTCAAATTCTCTACTATGAATCATATTAATTTCTGGGGATATAGCAGCAACCCATTGCTCCTTATGAAGATCATTAAATATTTAAATATTAATTCAAAAAAAAAAGATGTGATATTTGTACAAAGTGTGCAAGTAACTCTAGGGCTGGCTAGGAAGAGAAGTAAAATCAAAACAGACATGAGAAACAGGGAGACAAAAAATGGGAAAACGAGAGGATCTTTGCTTCTGGACATCATTTCTCAAGTTAGAGATTTTAGTTTAAGATTTTAAGAAACATTAACACTATTTCCTCTGTATATAAGTAGCTCTGTGATCATGAGAAAAGAAAAAACAAATAAGTGAACCCCCAATTCTTCCAGGACAGATGATCCTGGACTCTAAAATGTCACCACTGCTACTGGAAGAGCATGGGTGCTGTTTGTTTGGGGGACTTGCTTAAAACAAAAAACACAAAACATAGTCATCCTATCGGGCTTTTGGCTGCCCTGAAGGACAGGTGGAATTTTTTGAGGAACAAGTATCCTGGCCTTCAGAGAAAATCTACTCATTACAAATAGAAAGGAAAGCACTTGGATGGCTTCCCAAGAATAATGAAAAAATTAAGGTTCTCTCGAGTATATCTAAATTATGTTATCTGTAAATTCTAATTGCAGCATTAAAAGCTCAATGGATTTAATCTTGCAAGGTATCACCGGCCCTGATCCAGTAAAACACTTACACATCATTTCATTTTAAGGATATGATGCCCTGTTTTCATGCCAGAATACTGAGCAGCTCATTGGAATGAACCAATTTCAAAAAGACCTGCAATAAATATTGTCTCGCTATTTCTTAAAGAAACACAAATGTAGTTGATTCAAATACATTATTTTACCTATGTATTTTGAAAATGCACCTAAAAAAAATTCCTCTTCTTTCTAGTCTATTCAGTGGTAGACTTGTTTAGCAGAATTGTTGCTCTCTCTGCAGGTTAATAGAGTAATTTAACAGTCTGATAAGTGGTAACTCACTTCTTTTGAACCCGTGTTGATAGAAGTAACAGAATGAAAGGGAGTGGTAATGTTAATTTCTGTGATTTCAGTTTTACCTTGCTGCTCATACTGAAATATATCTATATCTTGCTAGATTAGGATTCCTGGAAATTCTGTCTGCAAATATAAGTTTAAATTTTCCACTCTGTTACAAACATACTAGATTTTCATGTTTGTCCTTTTCTCATCATAAATGCCAGCTGTTGATCTCCTCTTTGTTATTGAAGTAAAAGGATATTTTGCACTTCCATCTTCAATTCAAATGACTAGAGTGATAACAAAAACACAAACACACCCTACCACAACATTTTAATTTATTTCCAGCAAAACTCATTCTTTAGAATATCTGCGTTTAGATGGACACAGAGAATGAAACAGCCATGCTATTTTCTGAGCTTTTCTATGGAGAAATGAATTGTAACCATTACTTCAATTAAAGGGCAAACTCTTATGTCCAGATTCCATGAGGGCAGACAGAAGAGGACAGATTGTTTGATTAGAAATGACCTTTTGGCTTTAAGTTCTGCGAGTCACTTTGATAGTACATCCATTTAGTAGCTGACTACATAGCACAATCTTAAACTCTAGAAGAACAGTAATTCTTCCTCCTATACAAAGAAATAAGACTTTCAATTTAAACTGTATTCTGAGGTATATTCACAGAGCGCTGTCTTTCTGGACCATCTGTGAGATCCTTTCAGACAGTTATTTTTGCAATGGCCAATTTCTCACATTACTGTGTCTTCAAGGCGTGTTTCAAGGAGACAGTAACTTAAATAAGACATTGCTTACTCTTTTGATCTCTACATGCTAGCATTCCTGTCTATAGGGAAGATTCGCCCAGATATAGCTGGTGTGGCTGTAGGCCATATCAGTGGAAAAGCTGGGATGACCAAAGAAACAGTGATTAGAGCTGGTGGATATTTGGTATGCATCGATATTGGGATTGGTATTTATTATTATATGTGTGGAACTTCTCTATACAGAGTCTTGGCTTAGTCTTATGCGGGAAAGAAATCAGAATGGTAGAAATTTCCTGTAAATCAGAAAATGTCTCAGAAAAATAGTTTTTTGGAAGTACTACAGCATTCATTTTCTAAACAAAATGTAGGGCCTAGAAGCCTTTAGCTTCTGTCCTTCTGCCCTTACTTACTATCTTGCAAACATGTGGACAAGCAGGTCCATTCCATACTCATTCCAGACTTCTGAGGGACATCTAGGTATGCATATGTGCGCGAATATTTCTTTCAAGAAAAAGGGAGTGTGATAATATAGAAGATTGTTTTTATAAAAAAATGGCTAGAAAACTCAACTATCTAGGAAAGCAGCTAGTGAAGAAGTTACTTCTCTGCATCAGATCATGAGGAGGGATTTGAGGTTTTCTTTATCTATTAGTATTAATTAATGAGGCCCAGGGATCATGCTCGAAAGTTTCCACTCTTTCAATAGGTGTTTTTCTCGGTTACAGATATTTCTCAGTCTGAGAAACGTTTAACTTTAGCTGATTTTGATATTGTTAGACCTGTCATACACAATGTGCAATATTTCCACATCATCCTTAGCAAAAGTCTAATGTGAGTTACATTAATGCAAGCACTTTTCTTCCCTTTTTTGAGCAGAACAATAATCAGTATACTATTCTGTTTTTAGCAGATTATATTTTTTTACAAGCACATTCATTCAGGGTCTACCACAGTGTCACAGTAGTCAAGTTATGTAGAGTCCTTTTACATGATGGAATAGTTGGGTTGAAGCAGTAGTCCTTCTGCACTAACCAGATACGTACATTAGTATTTGTTGCTAGTACAATATTCAGTAGTGAGTGGTTAATAATGTTGGCTTGCTTCTGTGGAACAAAGCCATATCATTTTGAGCTAGTCTTGGGCAGTGCTGTATCTTCATTTCTAATTTCTCAGTCTGTTTGAACCATGCCATCCTTCTCAGCAATGCCTGGCTTTGAAGCTTTTCCAGAAATGGGGTACTTTTGTCCAGCTTAATGAGTAAGTGTTGCCCCAGGTGCTGTTGAACAACTTTCACATGACATCCTTAAGTTGGCTGTGTTTCACTAACACTGGAGAGCGATGTGATGTATGGGCTGGTATTACCCCAATGGGGAAGAATTTATGTTTTATGTATAGATTTAAGAGAAAAATGCAATGAAAGTTTTAACACACCAAGTACCTTCTCTTGGGTTCATAAATCTCAGTTATATATCCTTCTTATCTCTGGATTTCTTTCATGTACCTGCATTACAAAAAAAAAAATAATTCTAATTCAAATAATTCTTTTGACTCCCAACAACCTCCAAGAAGAAAGCAAGAGAGCATTTTGTGTCTTGTTTCCCATTAGTGGGATACAGCTAGAAAACCAAAGGACAGGAAGGTTAAGATACTTGTCAACACGAGGCAGTACCAAAACAGTGAACAGTGTGTCTCCTGCTTCTGTGTCCTCTTTTA